GGCGATGCGGACACACGACGACGGCGATGGGTCGATAATCCACCATCCACCCAGTGGCACCGTGCCGCGAGAGAAAGGGAAGAGAGAGGCGGAACGGGAAGGAGCTTTGCTCCCCGTCTTCCCCGTATTCGAAATGGCCGGCCGTCCGCTAAATCCCCTTGATTATAATCTGTAGTGAGGTTATAGTAAAGTGTCACCTCGGTCACGGGATCTACACCACCTCTCCTCTTCTCTCTCCTTCTTTTTTTTATTGAAGGAGGAAAAGAAAGAAACCGACAAGGTGCTAGTCCGTATCTGATCCGACTATTCACTAGCCAACCTACTAGCAAGTACTTGACCAGACCATATAATTTATCCGTAAGTAACGCCCTCTTAGTACGAATAGCCATCAGACCGTGATGATCTCTACGTTGCTTCTAGGCTTCTATTATGAGGGTAAATAGATCTAGCCTCTGAGCCGTACCGGTAGCTCATATATCAAGAGGGGTCTGCTCAGCTGCAGGGGCACTAACCGGTCTTGAATTCCTTCTAGACTATCTAATCCGTAGTCAGGTTGAACCTATGATGACCTGAGTGGCACCTTGCTACGTTTCAAGAGGTGGAAATCATTCCTAGCAACAATGATGATGGACCTTACCAATACCGAGTATTATTCAATACCGAGTATTATTGCCACGTACGACGCCCTCGTACCTCATCCCACCCCAACTCCAGCACCGACAAGACCAATACAACAATACAGCACACACGGCAGACGGCAGATGCAGCCTTGAAAGCTTACTCCCCCCCCCCCCCCTTCTCGGCTCTTGCCGTTCCCGTGTACCCAATCCCATCCTCGCTTTCTCCCCCCGGACAGCCCATGCCATGATGATACCATAGCAGCCCACACGGCAGACGGCAGATGCAGCCTTGAAAGCTTACTCCCCCCCCCCCCCCTTCTCGGCTCTTTGCGCACGCCTCAGTCCTACTTACCACTCTGGTGACGGTATCCACTTGGCATGTTTCACCAACCCTTGAATGTCTCTCTTCGGGGCGCGGACTCTCCCGGGCTCCCTCCCCCCACAGCAGAGGGCAGAGAGGCCATCTGTGCTCCGTGCTCCGTTCTGCGGGTGGGGAAGGACGATGTACTGAATGCAATGTGCACTCTGTAGGTTGGCATGAATTTGGCTAGCTGGCGCGCTGCTGCTGGCTTCCTGCATGTGCATGTCCCATCTGGGATGGTCCGGGTTGGATAGATCTACGACGCAAGGCCGTGTTGGGCAGGCAGATGATATCCAGGTTCCATCTTGGGAGGCAGCGTGAGACGATCAATCGACCGTCTCGACCTCTCTCCATCTCCTTGACAAGTTCACGATAGCGGTGCATCGTCATGCTCGAATCTTGGGTGCCGAGTCTGGGTGCCTTGGCTGCCACTGCCGTCGGTCTCTGGGCCACCGTGATAGTGGGGATGCTGGCAGCAGAAAAAAAAAAAAAAGAACAAGGGGAGAGAAAGAAGAAAAAAAAAAAGAGGCGTTGCCTTGCAGAGGGCACATGTCGATCGACCCAGGGAAACGGATGGTGGAACGTGGAGCGGTGCTACGCCTACGCCTAGCAGTGTAGCTGTACAGAGTAACAAGTAACCCGGCCTCGTCGCATTGTGCAGGATTGCTAGTGTAGAGATACGCAAGGTACCGAGCAATACATGCCGCGTTATTACTCTGAGCTGCCTCTGCGAGAACAAGAGTAGCGGTGATAGGCCGTGTTTCCGTGGGACATACCTCTATCTGCAATATTATCACACTCTCTGCGAGCACTCTGGGTCCGGCAAGCGACCATTGTGCCATCCATGTCTAGGATGAGCAATATTAGTCGTAGTATTACTATCACACTCACCCGTACTGCAATATTAATACTCTCTGCTCTTTCTACGCGTGCATGTACAGATTACTCGTACGCGGCACGCCGCACGCCTGGCACTCGTGTTCACCATCATTACCAACAGCACTCCGTAAGTATACAAGTACCACGAGCATCATAATACGAACCTGCATCTTGGCCGACGGCTACCTGAGTTCACGACGATGGTGCGGAACAGTCTGACGGTACGCAGCACTCCGCGGGGCCAGGTCACACCGACTCTGCTGACGAGACACGGGCAGCACACGCGATATGCGGCTATCCGCCATTCCTCGAGGCATCGTCTCACTGTCTCAGGCGGCCCAAGCTGGGGAGCGGGGGAGCTGCAGGTTACTCCGTACGAGCATGGAGTGCCGGTATTATGACCGCGTGCGGTAGAGAGACTCGAGGCCGTTGAGAAGGAGGGCGGGCATTATCCGATTGACCGTACGACGTAGCACGAACGTAATACCAGCTTCTAGACTAGTTGTTATTAATCGGTAAAGCAAGAAGCCACTAAGCACTGGTTGACAGTAGTGCCATCCAGTTCTGGGTCAAAACGTAGCCGACCAGTGACATCTTCAATGGGATACGAGGGGTCCCCAGTGCAGTGGCTGAGGGGGCCAACGGCCGTACTCGTAAGAGCCGTGGAGTAGTATTAGCACAACAGTTCCAAGAAGAGAGTGGGGAGGCTTGGCTTGGCTTGGGAAAAAAAAAGACAGAAAAAAAAAAGAAAAAAAAGGAGAGTTGATGATGAAGCTATTGAGCCAATGATGGGCCACGCGTGGAGTGACTCACGTGATAGAAGATGAAGGTACTCCCCTCGTGGAGGGCAGGCACAGCCAAGGAACATCTTCCTGCACTCTTATGGAGTCGAGCTTAGGGCAGGTGCGCTGCATATGTGTAATACTGCTCGCTGCTGGGGCAGGTGGAAGGCAAAAAGATTCTGTGTAATACTGGCCGGGTGGTCTACATACGTTCGCATCTAGGGCAGTTGGAGTCCATCAGGCACAGATGGACGGTTTATTACAGGGTACCATGCCACTGCCACTGTACATCGCCGCAATACGCTGCCCAACCCCTTACAGGCCACGCCTCGGTTTCTGGGTCACAGCCGCCAAGGCTGAGAGGCAATGCAGGTGGGAGGGATCGAGGGCAGGTAGAATTGAAGGCTCCCTTCCCTGCCACTGAGTCCTCGCCTGTCGGTCGTGATTTTATCAGAGACCCTCGGTCTACTCGTACAGATGCTTCCGGATATGCTCATCCTCGCTACCGCGAGAGAATACTCCGTGCTGATGCTTGCCTCTATCAGAACTGTCTCCGATTCATCACATCCACCCCTGGATACCTACCCACCATGGCCTACGAGTACAGCAAGGGAACGGCCATTTTATGGGGGGCATTATTCCCATCTGCTCGTTTCTCAGGTCAATAGGAGAGCAGATCTCGTTTTCCGTCACGTCAAAAAAAAAAAAAAAGAGGAAGAAACAGTCACTCTTGGACCCGGCGCCCGCCAACTTACGGCCGATTCATCACTACTAAGACTGTGTGCAGTATACTCACATTTGCTTTTGTTTATTTATTTGAGAAATTTCTCTTCGTCCAACATTTCTTTTTCTGAAATCCTTTCTTTTTCCTTCTTCTCTCTCTCTCTCTCTCTCACTGAAGAAGACTTGGCTACTATGGGGCCAGGTGCAGATACTTGTACGAGTATCCGTACAGGTACGAGTACATACGGGACACTCCACGAAATCTCCGTCATCCAACATCCCTGTCGCCGTTCCTGGCACCAGGAGGACAAACCTACCAAGGCAATGCTCCGTAGAGATAATACAGCGTAATACTATTATTACTACGTAATACTCCTACTCTGTATGTACGCTGGAGTCTTGGGGGGGGGGGGGAGGATACCTACATTGGGAAGCAGCGCGTCTTTATAATGCCGCGAACCCACCAGTCCAAACTCCTTTTGTGGCCCTGGATGCAGACCTCACGGGCTAAACCTCTGTTGGCAGTAGGTCGCCGGTCAGCATGTCGCGCTCACAACAACTCTCTCTGCCGGTCCGAACACTGCAGTCAGTCGCTCGACTCCTGCTTCTTCTCCAGCAGTGTGCTCTGTGCCCTGTGCCCTGGTCGACCCTCTTTGCTAAGACTCTGCAAGGCCAGGGTGTGGCCTGAACTCCCTATCTGCCAGGGGTCTGGTCTGGTGTGGTCCAGTCGGCGCAAGTCGTGGCTCCTCCCCCTTCCGGGGGGGGGGGGGGGGAGGGGTACGTCTTAATCTTGACCGTGGCCCTTGACGGCCACCCCCCCAGGCCGTCTTCCGCCAGTCCGTCTTTTTATTAATAACTAATATTCTTTTTATTAGACGTACTGACCATGGCCTCCTCGTCTCTCTTCCCATCATCCAGCTCAGATACGGAGTACGTCGACTGTTACTAGCAGTTTATGCCAATTTACCAGAGTTGCTGCTGCTGCTGCTGCTGCTGCTGCTTGTCCCTGTTTTCATACTCCGGACCCCCGTCTACACACGCTCACTCGTCTTCCTTTCCTTGACAACATACATTCTCTACTCGATTCGGCGTCGAATATTACAGAGTGCAAGCACCGGTCTTATCTCCAACATCTCTCGTACGCATGCATGTCTCGTCCATCTACGACCTACGAGTAAACTTCCTTTCGTTTTCGTGTGCTCTCTCACCTTGTCGACCTTTACTGGCCTGCACGCCTGGCCGTCGACAACATACTTTGACGTATATCAGCTTGTATACAATACCACCCATACACCTGGAACATCCAATCTTTTCATATATCCCAACAGCTTCTGGTGCCTTCGACGATATAACCCAACCACGAAACCCCCCCCAAGAACAATTGGTCACGAGCGCCATTGTGCGAACCCCTGAACGTGTCACAGCAGGCCCAAGACGTAGCCAGTGCCAGACGACGGGTTGGACACCGAGCCAATCTGGAGCGATTCGCCTAGCTTAGCCAGAGGGCACGAGCTCTCGTCGCCCTCTGCCGCGGGGCTCAGATCCGCAGAAATGATCCCAAGTATGCCTCTCGGAGGAGGAGAGGCAAACCCTGGACGTCATAGGAGGCGCACAGCTAGCCGAGATGGCCTCAAGATGGCTCTCGGCGTCACGGCCTTTTCGCGTGGCGAGAGCATGCACAGCAGCCACGGCAGCCACGGCAGCCACAGCAAGAGCCCCAGCTCTGGCAGGTACGAAGCCCCCGACATCGACTACATGGAGCCTGCCGTCGACGGTCCTCCCTCGCCCGAGCGTCTACGCCAGCTCAGCAAGCAGATGAAGCGGGCATCGCACCTGAACCGGCCCCGTATCGAGCGGAAGGAGTCGCACGACTCGTCTACGAGCACCTCGCTCAGCCAGAACATGTGGGATCAGTCCACCGACAGCACCTCGCTCAGCCGCCGTTCCTCGAGCCGCTCCTCCCCTAACAATGACCGCTCAGAGAGGGAGAGCGTGCAGATGCTGGGGCGTAACCTGTTTCAGCGCAAGAAGGCCAATCGCGCCAGCAGCTCGCAAAGCTCCTCCAATAGTTCCATGTACTCTTTTGAAACGCCGCCGGAGCTCCCTGCCAAGGATAAGGACTCTCTCCTCCCATCACTGTTCACCCGCCGCAAGGCGTCGCGAGATGACTCCTCCCAACCGCGTGTGCAGATCTCGGGCCCCTTCAACTTCCAGCATGTGGCGCACACCCGACGCGATAGCATGACTGATCCCCAGCGGGATTCAATCTACGATATGGGACCGATGCAGCCTGATGCCAGGGCGCCTCACGGGCTCGCCCCCCAGAACCTGCACCACCCCAGCCATTCAGTTGACTCGATTGACAGTGACTTCAACAGCATGTCTCTGGGAGGACCCGCCTCGCACATGTCCATGGTACAGGGCCACGCGGTGTCGGCCTTTGGCCCCCACGGAACCGTGAGGCCGAGCAAGTCGCAGGATTTTCTTCGTTCCAGCCCACCGTGCTCCATGTCAAACAACTCGCCGCCCGTGCCGCCGCCGAGGATGTCGAGTCGTCACTCGGCAGTGCCGGATTCGCTCGACGTTTTCCCGTCCCTGGATCGCCCTCGGACGAGTGGGGGGTTCCGACAGCCTCAACCTTTCGACCCTTGGGAGACGGATTTCCCGCCTGCTACCTCTCAGGAGCTTCTGCCCCCCGTCGACATGGATGCTTTCTCCAACGACGAGAGGCGCTTCTCACACGCCGTCACCACGACCGACGACACCGCGTGGCCGCTGTCCTGCTCCACCATCTCACCGTCGCGTTTCGAGGCGCCCCTGCCGGATGTGCCCGAGGAGGAAGAGCATGCGGTGACGGGCCGGCGATCCCGCATGAGCATCACCAGCACCCGTTCTTCGCTGCGGGGCAGCCAGTCTGTCCCGGCGCTGCGATCGTACCTGCACTCTCCGCGCCCCGCCAGCGAAGCCTCGGATACGCTCGGGCCCTCTGAGACGGACGCGAGGGACGCGCTGTTTGGGGATGAGTCGCCATCGACCGAGACGGGCTTCAGCCAAGACAACTGGGAGGATGACATTGACTACTGCTACGAGCACGAGGCAGATGCCAATTTCGACTACCAATGGGAGCGCCCGTCTCTGGATGGCAAGCGGGAGGAGGTCCGGGAGCGCTTCAACGGTGGTCAGCTTTCTATCATCACCAGCCCTGACAGCAGCTTTGCCATGTCACCCAACATGGAATCCGATGTTTCGCCCACTCAGTGCTACCCGCCGTCCATCAACAGCTACCTCGGCCCGTCCAGCAACTTTTCTCTCCCGCGCGGTGAGAGGGCTGCCGCCGGCCCTCCGGAGAGCATCCGTCCCATCTCGTATGCGTCGAGCTTCAGGGAGTCTCAGGGGTTCAACCTGTCGCCGTCGCTGCTCATTCCCGGCGACTTCCACCAGCAGATGCTGGCGGACCGTGTCGAGGGGCAGGATGGCCCCGTCGAGATGGCGGGGAGCCCGCTTCGGGACGAGATGTCGATCGCGGAGGGCAGGTCGCCCATGTCGTACCAGCGCTCGAGCACGTCGACGATGGGAACCAACTCGACTTCGCACACGGACTTTACGGGCGAGCGCCACGCGTCTGCCAACTCTGCGCTGACTGCCATGACCCGCCTGACGGTGAGCAGCAGCAGCACGTCGCTCAACAAGATCGTGCTAGAGTCGGTGGCTACCGGATCGCTGTCGGATGCGGGAGATGCCGAGAGTGAGGACGACAGTGTCTCGAGCCCCCAGGACACGGTTCCGGAGCTTACGGCCTTCCCGGTGCCTAGCTTTGCCAAGAAGGGCTTCCACCGTTCTCACGCGAGCGAGTCGATTGTACGGGCCGAGGCGATAGCGCAGGCTGGTGCTCAGGACCCCGCTAGGCTCCGCCGACCGCGTGCCCGCACGTCGAGTCTGTCGGCGCAGGTCGCTCCCCCCGTCGGGCAGTACACCCTCTTTCCCAAGTCTCCGATCAAGGGAATGGGGGGCCACATCTAGACGGCTTCTCATCCCCTCGAACCAGACCGCATCATATCAGATGCAGCCCAAGACCAACAACACGTGTACAATCATGTACCCTCGAATTCCACTTTTCTTTCTCACATATGTTCATTACAAAAGCAAGACAAAAAACACAAGCCGTGCAGCAATGTACGCAGTCAAGCCTATCCGGCACAACAGCATATGATGCAACATTGCATGGCTCAAAACCAAAAAAAATCAGAAGCGGTTTTTTTAAATTTTTTTTTTTTAATATTATTCCGCGGATTGGGATATTCGGTGTCATGCAGCAGGCTATGTCTTTCTTTTTGTTCTCATTCTCCTTGGTTCATCTCATTGCCCTGTTGATTGGCCAACTCTGACATTCGCTAAAAGGCGTTTTCTTTCTTTTTATTTATTTTTCTGTTTTGTTTTCTCAAGAAAATCATGACATTGGGCAGGGGGTACTTCTTTTCTTATAGACGGTTATGGATAGGCTGGTTTAGCCTTGGAGCTTTCTTTCTTTCCCCCCCCTGTGTTCTGGGTCTATTCTGGACCTTTTCTTTTCTATTCTTTCTCGTCCTGTGCTTTTTTCTTCTTCTGGATGTCTCCGTCTCTTTGAACTATCGTTTCGATTCTCTTTTGTGTTTTTCTTTTCTTCCGAGTCTTGCAATAGGAAAAAAAAAGTTGAATGGATGGAATTGGAGCTTGGGGGGGGGAAAGGTCGTTGGACTGGATCGGATCGAATTGGTATCCCTAAAAAAAATATAAAGGACAAAAAACTTGCCTTGTCTCGTGCAATAAATATGTGACGTCTGGATGGAGCGGCTTCAAGGTTCAGACCTCGTCAAGGCCGTCGTGTCCTATCAATACTCGTACCATGCTCGTACCATGTAGAGGATATACTAGTGTCGGAGGTGTGAAGCGTGGAAGGGTAAAGTTGTAAAACCGTAGACGCCACGCCCATGAAATTTGTACTTTAGCGCGTTGGCATGGGTGGCGGTAACGATGCATGGCGGAGTTGGGGAGCATTGGAGTTTCGGATAGGCAGGGCAGGGTTTACTCGTAATTTCTTATAAGCTGTGCATTGTTTACGGAGCACCGAAATATCTCGTGTGTGAGCGCGGAGAGAGGAAAGACAGAAAAAGGAAAAGAAGAGAAAAAAAAAAGTCTCGGGAGCTGAAGAGGCTGATGTTCTCGTTGGTGATGAGTATTTCAGGGTCCAATGGGATTGATTGATTGGTTCAACGGGGGGGGCTTTCAGCTGGATTTAAAAAAGAGCAGTAAAGTATTAGAGAAATGACGACACTGAGACAATTGACGAATCAGATGGCAGAAAAGGACGGTATGTGGATACAGGAGATAGATCTCATTGGCCGAAAGGGTGCTTGGCTTGTCCAGCTGAGGCAGATAGGCTTTTCGCAAACGGAGATGCTTGGGGTAGGAAGGGTAGGAAAGATTGGCTGGTGTTTGATGAGGGAAATGAAGGACGGAGACGGACGGGCGATTCGGAGGTATAGAGAGAGAGAAAGACAGGGAAAATGGCTCCAACACAAAACTCGGGCTGTTGAGAGGATGATGAAACCGTCAGTCTGTTTGCTGTTGTTGCGCTGCACGACTATTCGTAACCCTTCCCACCGTTCCCATCCTCTCTACTCCGTTCTGTCCTCTCCTTCCCATTGTTCACTCAGCTGCACCTTCCCGCTCTTACCACGCACAGTTCCTGCCAAACACAGAGGCTTCTTTATGGCATTTCATCGGCTGGACTGTGCTGTATCCGGCTCCTTCCTTGCCGTGAGCTGCTACTGAGGCTCTCACTCGAGGCTGAGACACACACGCACAAGAGAGACAGAGACAGAGACAGAGACGGAGACAGAGAGAGAGACAACATCGTGGTTGTGTCGAGACAGAGAGTATTGATGAGAGCATCATCAAAAGCGCCCACTATTTTGGATTCTTTTCTGCTCTTTCCCCCCCCCCCCCCCCCC